GGTGGGGGGAAAGAGAGGCAAAACCAAGAAAGCAGATCTCCTCTCCTCTCCGGGGGTGACGGGGGGCGGGGGGCTGCGGGATCTCTGCCCCCACCCCTCCCTCCTCGGACCCGGAGTCTCTAGGCCCCGCGGTCCAGACGCCCCCTTTAGGCTCCCGCACCGAGCCCCAGTCCAGGAGCGGCGCTCAGTGGCCCCCAGTAGAGCCCAGCCCCTTCCAGCGCTCAAACTCTTTTGTTTTAAATGAACTGGATGGAGCAGCATGGAACTGACGGGAGGGGGGCGCGCCGGGGGCGCCCGGGGCATGCTGGGAGTTGTAGTTCCCCGTCCGCGGGGGCCGGAGACAAATTCCTTGACCCGAGGCGGCTAGGGATGTGCCCTTCCATCGCCACGCGTGGCGCGGAGGCAAAACTGGGGGGTGGGCGGGTGGGACGGGGATCGAGGTCCTAATTTTGTCCAGTGGGGAGCCCGGGGAGAGGGGGCAGGGGGCAGAAACTGCACGGATTGGAGAAAGGCTACCGGAGTGCGTCCCCCCTACCAAGACGGGCTCCCTCCCCGGCCCGACCGGTCCGGGGTCCCTCTTTCTTATGGTAATGAGGGGGGCGAAAAGGAGGGGGGCCGGTCGCCGCTCGGTGGCTGCGGCTTCCTCGCTCTCTCTCCGCTTCCCCCTCCCCCCCTCGCGGACTCGATCCGGGGCTCCGGGCCGCGCGCGCGGGGCCAGCGTCTCGGCGGAGCAGACAAAGCCCGCAGCCGCGATGGGGGCAGAACCGCGCTCGGTGCGCCGTGGGGGTCTCGATGGGCTGCCGGGCTGGAGGATGAGACGCCCTGGCAAAGCCCAGGGTCTCCTTCTCCCCGAGCGGCCAGCCATCTCCCACGCCCCTGGGTCTCGGAGACACCGGCTGGGAGGTGAGTGGAGCGGGCCGGGGAGGGCTGCGGAGTGACGGGGTGGGGAGAGGGAAACAGCGGGGAGGAGTTGAGGGCAGGGAGCGAAGGTCTTATAGACGTGATGGGGTCCCAGTGTGGAGTACGCACCTTGAGTTTGGGGTGCGCCCGAAGGAGGGAGGAGAGAAAGAGGTAGTCTGAGGATTGCATGGGGTGAGGGGTGGGGGGGTCTGTTCTTTCGGCCCCACCTTCATTCCAGGTCACTTCACCCACCTCTCCCCCATTAAAATCCACTCCGTCCATCCCTTTGGCCCTGCACGTTTAGTGGAAGTGGAAATACATTCTTTAAGGGCTTGCGTTCGATGATTGGATGGGCTTGGGGCAGTTGGAGCACAAGGCAGTCATTTCTTTCCCCTGACTTCCTTCTGTGAGGGTCTGTCCCAAGAGGAGAAAGGATAGCACTGCAGCTTGAGGGCCTAGAGTCAGATTTTAAGAAGGACTTCCCCAAAGACTTGCCCCAAAGCGGGGCCAACTACAGAGAAGCCTTTTTCTGGGTGTGGAAACCGAAAGCGGCTGTGAACTGTGTTTGTTTTCTGAGGTGGTCTGCTCACAGACCAGGCCCTGGAAGAGCTGAGCCACACAGCCCAGCTCCCTAACTCCTTAGAAAGAGTGGATTTGCACACCAATGGGCACACTGCAGGGCGCTGGCTCCCGGGCTGTGTAAAGATCCTGGAACCTTGCCTAAGGAACACCCCCCTCTAGAGGCCCCGGAATTAGGGAGAGGGGCTTCCTGGATTGAGAAATTTAAAGGACAATGAAAACCAACTGCATTGTAGAGTCAGGCACCGCCAACACCGCTGGGCAGGAGTGGAGAAGGAGACTCCCAGGGATGGGGTCCTGGGGTAGGGCTGTTCCCCATCCTGGCCCCCTCTCAGTCTGCCCTCGGGACCTGGACTGAAAGAACTGCCCTAGGGGGACCAGAGCTCTTGTTGGGGATGAGTTCTCAGGTGGCTCTTTTCTGCTTTTCACATTAAAAGACAGCCAACAGTTGCCCGGGACTGGGACCTGGGCTACCGGCTAGCTGAGCCTCTCTGCACTGAAATGAGATTCCCACCCCTCAAAAGACACTGACCCTGAAAGTGCCCTGCCACTACTTTCCTCCCTGCTTAGCTAATTACAGCAGGAGGTTAATGACCATAGAAGCCTTGGGGATTTGGCCCCGGAGAGGGAAACAAAAGGCAGAAACCAATGTATTCCGAGTGGGGAAGGGGACAGCTGCCGAATGGGCCCAGGGAGGCGAGCATCCCTGCTGGACTGAGTTACTAATCCAACAACAAGAACAACCAGCCCCCAGGGTGCTTGTGGCAAGGCGCTGTGTGTCTGTCCTTAAAGTCCCCGCTGCAGTGCCACACAAACCTGCTCTGGGTAGAAGAGAGGCAAATGTGAAGCCTGCCACCCTGGAGGGAGGTGTGTGTGCGCGCACACATATGCCAGTGTCGGGTACCTACTCCTAGTGGGGACTTCCTGGGTGCTTGGCAGCAAGGGATGGGGTCATTCTCTGAGGCCGGTGGCTTCCTTTGTTCAGGGAAGACCTATCTCTCCACCTCCTGACCTCAGGTGACATTGAACCTGGCCAAGCCAGATTCTCTTCCAGGAGCACCCCTCCCTGCCACCACCACCCCACTCTCCTAGAAGTATTCGGATTTTGCTTGGAAATGGATGACTATGCCTACCCACCCCTGCGCGCCCCCACACCACCACCACCTACACACATCTCACACCCTGCCCACGCCCCACCTTGTGACCAGAAACTAATGTGTTATATCACTCCCCTTCTAGGCTTTGTCACTGTCTCCCACCCCAGTCCCCAGTGCCCAGCACCAAGCCAGAGCAGAGGCCCAGGAAGGGTGTGTTGAATTCGACTGTCTTTTCCAAGCTCGGTAGTGTGGAGGAAGGAGTAGGGCTCTGTGGCTTGTTGGGTCTGCCACCCTGGCAGTCATTTCATGCTGGGCTTGTGTCCTCGTTGCTGACACAGAAAGCAGCAGGCTGATCCCTAACACGGAGCCTGGCTCCTTTGGCTCCTGGTTTCCTGACCCGTCCTTCTCCCCTGGCAGTTTGCCTTTGGCCAGGTTGTGGTCTTTGTGAATGCACCCTCATTCATGCATTCATCCATGCACTCGGCCCAACAATTGCTGTTGAGCTTCTAAGACAACCTGACCCACCACCAACCACTGCAGAATCACTCTATGTCTAGACTGGCCAAAATTAGACCCTCCCAAACAGCAGCAGGTGTTTCCAAACAATTCTTGTTGAGCACTGGGATGCGGGCTAACTCCATGTCTTGACACCTCTCCCTCTCTCTCACACACACACACATACACACAAACACACCAGGTTCCTAGCCCTCAGCCTGAGGAACAAAGGGCCCCACTGAGTTGTGGAGTTTGCTCTAAGTGCTGTGTGTGTATGTGTATGTGTGTGTAGGTGTAGGCAGGAAAGGTGGCCTAGCGGAGGAGAGGGGTGGCCCAGGCTTCCTGTATATGTGCTAATCTCTGTGGGGTGCTGTCCCCCTCTGGCCTCTGGGCATTTGTCATCACTGTCTAGGCACACAATAGGGAGGGGGCACATACCTAACACTTGTCCCTTCCCCCACTCCCTTCCATTCTCAGAGCCCCTGGGGAGGGGAAGACAGGGCGGCCCCACCAAGGCTGCTCCGCCATGCAGGTTGGCCAGGAGAGAGGTTATCACATCCATCTCTCTGTTCTTCCAAGTTCCCTTCTCCATCTGGCCCAGTCAGCCGAGCCGCCTCTCCTGGGCTTTATGGGCTTCTCATTTTTTGTAGTACCCTTCCTTTGTGGGAAGTTCACCTTGCTATCTGACCATACTTCTTCCTGCTGAGGAGGCAACTCCTCTCTTCTTGGTGCCTGAAACTTGCACGACTCATTCAATAATTAAATTCACTTGACGAGGATGGATGCACTAAAGAAATAGCAGACTGGGGGTGGGGTGGGGGGATAGCAGACTTGATCCCTGCCCTCAGTGAGACATAGACTCTAGTCCCTGTGACCCAGAGAAATGGCCAAACAGGATGAAAGGGATGTGCAAAACTGGCCTTTGCTATTGTGAGGGCTACAGAGATTGGAGGGGAAAGCTGTAGGACACTGATGGCCATGACCCTGAGGGGCCAGCCTGAGGTTTGGACCTGGGTAGACAAACACCTGCTTCTCTCTTGGGACCATGAGCCACTCCCCCTCCCAGGTCGCCTGCACAGACTGATTTCCCCAGGGAGGGCAGTTCAGAGGGGCTGGGCCAGAGCGTAGGCTTCCCAGGACAGCTGGCTGACAGGGCCCCTCTGGGACTCAGGGTGGAACCGAGGCGTCCGGGAGGCGGGAGGCGCTTGACACCTGAGCTGTGACAGTTGGTCCCCAGATTCCTCACCCAGCGGGCGCCAGCTCTGGTTTCGGGCTGGAACAAGGTAGGCAGAGGGGTGCCTGGTGCCAGTCAGACTTGGGCGCTTTCTTGATGCAGAAAAAGGGAGACAGACAACATTGCCCTGGTAGGGTGTTGGCGGTGGGGTGGGGGTTTCCTCCGGTGCTGTCTGTGTAGCAAGCACTGTGCTGTGCTGTGAGCTTTCGGGGAGACTGAGGCAGAAGGGGCAGCCGACGCTGCTTTCAATGAGCTCTTTGGTGAATGCGTGGATGAAAGACAGATGGGCTGCTTGGAATGTCAGCCGCCCAGGGAGGAGTGGAGCCAGTTAGTACATGGCCCTCTTCAGCAAGGACCCACCGGCCTGACCTTGTAGAGAAAGAGAAGGTGGGCTCTGTGGCTCCCTGGTGCCTCCTGTGCCATCAAGCAGCCCTTTTCAGGGAAGGACAGTTGGAGGTGGGTGGGTCGGTCTTTACCGATGGGGTCTCCCCGGTTCCTGTCCTCCATGCTGTGAGGCTGCCCAACCCGAGGGGGTTGCAGCTCACAGAGGTTACGTGGCTTGTCAGTTACACCTCCCGTAAATGAAGACTCACATCCAAATCCAGATCTGTGTGTGACTCTGGAGTCTAGGACCCAGAGTTAGACAAGCGCTCCAGGAGCGCCCTTCTGGAGACCAAGGAGAGAGTTGCTCTTGAAGCGGGAACCCTTTGGGAGGCCCCCTGGGAGAATGTTCTGCAGGGCTCCGGCAGGGTGGTGGGGATGAGTGAGCCTTATGCAAAGGAAGAAATGTCTGGAGGTTGGTGCCAGGAGTGGGGAGTGAGGAGTCGGGAGTGGGGGCAGGTTAGGGAAACTCAGAGGCCTGCAGGTTGAGCAGGTGACCCCTTTGCCTAGATCCTGGGGAGCAGGGACTGGAAGGTCCTCGAGTCTCAGCCACCAGGTGGCGCCTCAGGCCAACTGCTGGGGGTGGCTCCCATCTGGGCTCAGACCAAGGGCCCCAGGTGCTACTCAGCCAGGACTCTGCCCCACCTCGCCCCCTGGATCATCAGGAGCTTCCACCTTGCCCTTAGCGTCTGGTGGGGCATCTGACACAGGCTCAGGGTAAGAACCCTCATGGCTGAGACCTGGCCAGCTGCCAGCTGCCCGAGTCCCCAGGAGAGGGGGAGGCGAAACACTTGAGTTCAACTCACCTGGGTGTGGAAGCCTTGGCCTGCTCACTGCACGGTGGGCGGTTCAAACCCACCAGCCGCTCCGAGAGAGAACGTGGATGCTATCTGCTTCTAGAAAGACGTACAACCTCAGAAACACGGGTCCTTGTGAGCCCAATCTACTCAATGGCAGTGAGGACTTGGACCTGGGAATGAGTCCTGAACTCCCTGCTGCTTCGTACCGGTGTGGCCTATTCTCCCCGCGTAGGAGGGACAATACTCGTACCAACGAGGGGGCTTCAAAAAGCTCATGGAAAAATTCAGTTCTCCTCCGATTCTATCGTTCTGCAAACTTTCCGAAAGCTCCTCGTACCTAATACGGATTGAACGTGACCCTGCTGTGTTCCAGTCACTGAGGACGCACACAAGACAAAGCCCCTGCCGTCGCACAGC